AATGTTATCCCAATCCTTTGGCTCCACTTGACTTTGCACGATTCATCCTTATCATTGAATGTCGCTTTAAGTGTCACCGTCCTTAAAATATTCTATATCCATGCACCATTTCCACGCAATTTTAGTCGAAATTGATGATGATGAAACTTCAAAGTTACCAAAACCATTGTTTCCCCATTGATCACGACGACAAACCTCCGCACCCTTCCTTGACAAGAGGTTTACAGTCGGAAAACGTAAGACTCATGAAATAAAAAGTAAAGTTTAAATTATGTTCCAGTTTTTCTTATTTTATATTACAAAATTTCTATCAGCTCCAATCTTTTATACACAAAACTCATAAATAATCATTTGAATATTCTTTTAATTTCTTAATTTTGAGAATTTTTTTTATAAATTTTAAATTTCTAAAAATTCCCACAGCTAACAAATAGGTGAAAAATTTCTAATGTAAAAAGAGATATTTTAACTTTATATTGAGAGAATATATTGAGAGAGAAACTGTTACAACCGTAGATGTCAGAGATTTAAGTAGTGTTGACGTGCGATAGAAAAACTGTTTATCCGGTTTAGAAATAAACAATGTGTAGGCGAAAAGATGGAAGAGCTGGAACAGACGGCGGAGATCAGTGACTAGCCCCCGCTAGTATGATCCAACTAGACTGACGCTTTAACTGGCTTTTATACTATAGCGATACCACTACACAACAGAAACTAATCTCTTAGTTATTTTTCTCTAACCACTTCTTCCATACAACCCTAAAGATCACCATATTTTTATGAGGTTGATTAAAACAATAAGAAAAGATAAGTGATCAGGTCAATTAACATAAGCTAAGTTTTGAATTACTTTTAGAAATCTTGCATTTTGAAAGTTGGTATTTTGTTGTTTGACATTTAGAAAGTTGGCATTTTGTCACATGCCATTTTGAACTTTTACATTTGTATTTGGCATATTTCAAGTTGGCATTTTTTAAGTTAGTATCTTAGCGTTTGAAAATTTGTAAGCTGGCATCTTGTCGTTTGACGTTTTTAAAGTTTGCATTTTGTAGTTTGACGTTTTGAAAATTAGCATTTCGGAATAATTTGTTACACGCTTAGATTAGAACTTCCTGCCATTTTTGGACAAAATTTGAAAAAATTTCAAAATGTCGATTTTCATAATGTCTAACTTTAATAATAGCATTCCCACTCTCACTCATTCCACTCACTGATTGGCATCTTATCAGCTTCTACTATTAAAAGGTAGAAGGTGATAATCATTTAGAATATAACTAATTACCCTCAAACTTTTATTAATTACCCTAGAATCCCTTCAGAACATATAGGTTGACGACATAATCAAAGAGATACAAGGTATTAAAATGTGTTTGACATTTTTCAAGTTGAAATTTTGTCACTTGACCTTTTTAAAGTTGACATTGGTGTTTCGAAATATTTAGGTAAATCCCCCCTACATTTGACTTCCGATCATTTTTGGACAAACTTTGAAAAAACTAACTGAGACTCTAGAGTCCAACATAACGCACTTAAACTTCTCTTTTTAGTACTTATCCCAGATGTTCTCTAGCAAGATAAATTTTAGCCGTTAAGCAAGACTCTAGACTCTTCGCTTTAACACACTATTTTACTCATAATCTTCTCTGTTTTATTCTGTCCGCATGTCTAACATGATCTAAGAAAAAAGTTGGAATTAGATGAGCTAGAGAGTGTACTTTCTTAAGAGAGTACACTGTCTTTCTTCGTCTGCCGCTGTATGGTTGTTGTAGTTTGTGTCAGACATCATCAGGGGCTTAAATACATTTTTATGTCTCTTTTATTTTACCGCACTTCCACCTTTTGGTTCTCTATAATTTTATCGCACTTCCAAACATTAATTTTAAAAATTCATTTTAACCTCCAAATGTCTTTTACCGTAATGCCTTTTACCGTATACTGTCTTTCTTCGTCTGCCGCTGGATGGTTGTTGACACATCACGAACATCCCACCTGTCAATTCCCGCAAAATATAAACCATAATTTTTTAATTATGGAATGATTAATCACCCTAATTAATCATGATTAATTACCCCAAATCAAAAGGTAAACTGTCCTTTGGCCACACATCGCCCCTTTATTAGTCTTATAATAATTATCAGTTTTTAACAGTGGAAGATTAAACATCTAAATAGACATTTCGAAGTGTGGCATTTTGTCACTTGACATTTTGAAATTTGACATTTTTAAATAATTGGTTAATTCCCCTCACATTCTGACTTGCGTCAACTTTGCAAATCATTTAAAATTTTTTGCATAATTTTGTAAACTTTATTTCTCCGCATTTATTTTTATTCAATATATTTTTTATTTTTTTCATTTTTTAATTAATTATCAGACTCAAATATTCCATTCCTAGACTGAAATTCACAGCATACGAAATTTATAGAAGATTTTAAATTCAAAATTCCCTCCAATATGTATTTTGAAGTTGACGTTTTGAGATTTGCATTTTGTCGTTTGCAAAATGCAAATCAGGTGCTTTTAAAAATTTTTAAAGGTGCTTTTAATTTTAAAAGGTGCATTTTTAAAGGTACTTTTGTCGCTTGACATTTTGAAAATTGGCATTTTGTCGTTTGACATTTTAAAAATTTGCATTTTGTCGTTTGACATTTTGAATGTTGTTATTTTGTCACATGACCTTTTTGAAGGTTGGTATTTTGTCATTTGACTTTTTAAAGGTTGGCATTTTGTCACTTTACATTTTGAAGAGTTGGCATTTTTAAATTTGACATTTTAAAATAATTGCTTAGTTCCCCTTACATTCTGACTTGCGGCAATTTTGCAAATCATTTAAAATTTTTTGTAAAATTTTGTAAACTTTATTTATCCGCATTTATTTTTATTTAATATATTTTTTAATTTTCATTTTTAATTAATTATCAGACTCAAATATTCCAGTCCCAGGTTGAAATTCACAACATACGAAATTTATAGAAGATTTTAAATTCAAAATTCCCTCAAATATGAATTTTGAAGTTGACGTTTTGAGATTTGCATTTTGTTGTTTGCCATTTTGAAAGTTGGCATTTTGTCGCTTGACATTTTGAAAGTTGGCATTTTGTTGCTTGACATTTTAAAAGTGATATTTCGAAATAATGAGTTAAACCCTTGCATTTGCACTTCCGGTCATTTTGGACAAACTTTGAAAAAATGAACTGAGACTCTAGAGTCCAACATTTCGCACTATTTCGCTTTTAAACTTCTCTATTAGTACTTATCCCAGATGTTCTCTAACTACCGACCATTTTCGATTACCCACCCAGATTTTCTTAAAGGTACTTTTTATTTGAAAGCTGTCATCGCCCTTTACCTTCAAAAGTAATTAATCATTTTAAATATGATTAATTGCCCTCCTTAATTACCGATGACCCTCTTCAGTAGGTGTAGTTCGGCGGCATAATTAAATATAAAAGGCATCAAAAGGAGTGAATTTCTGGAGGAGAGCGATTTGGGTTGTTCCAAAAAAGGATGATTAATGGGCTTAAAACCCCTTTAATCCCATAGGATTGTCGGCAAAATCAAAGGAAAATACCCCCTCTATAGGATGAGGTTTCATTTGACAGGTGACCAAATGAGGTGAGCGATTTGGGTATGTGGAGCGAAAAGGGTAGAAGAGCGATTTGGGTATGTGGAGCGATTGGGGCATAGTTAACTACTGAGGCTAAACTTTTACTTTTCTCCTATTTTAGATACTAAACCTCTACTTATCAGATAAAAATTTTAAATCGAATTGGCATTGAGAAGGAGAAGGGGAAACTGCCCTGACCCTTATACTGACCCTTATACCTGACTCTTATATTCTGCATTTCAAGATACACCTTACTATAGTATAAAAAATTTCGAGCTCTCAACAATGTATTTTTGAGATATGTTTAAAAAACAAATATGTATGTACAAGAAAGTACTTGGAAAGGTCGTCGACTAGTATTTTTGCTTCCATTTTATGGCGAGCAAGAAAATTGAGAAACTCGATCCCTCCATTCTCCGTATCTACCATTACATCAGCAGTCGAGTTTACATTGGGGGGTGGACGCCAGAAGTCAATCTGAGGGGATTTATTGGAATTAATTGGGGGTTAATGGCTCTTAAATGAATACCACACAAATAATAATTACCCCTCCAGCCACAGGATGGAAAAATAAGTTCATTGCTTCAACATCCCTAACACGAGTTCAAACATGGATACTTGCTCTCACTGTTTAATTACCACCTCTAGCGAGAGGTTGAAACAATAATTACCCGAGGTAATTGATCAAGAAATTAAAGTAACTAAGGTGTCTAATGGGTCTTAAATAATAATTGGGGACTATAATTAATTTAATTATTACAGTCGATTTAGACTTTTTAGTTATGATTCCGCCGACATAAACTCACATTAAGTTTTTAGGAATTTCAAATCCCCGGAACAAAAGTAATTAGAAATCCCGATTTTCATGAAGTATAAATTAATACTTAAATTTATTAATAAAATTATAGTACCACTCCAAGCTGTTCCAGTTGATTTAGACCTTCTAATTGTTCAACACTTTTAGGCTTTATATGGTAAACCTTGAAGCGTCTTTTAAAAATAATTATTTAATTTGAAAATATTTCAACTGCCAACCCGTTTGAGTAACCTCTTCCAGCATTAACAGGTTCTTCATTAGCCCCAACAAATATAATAAATAAAATAATATTTACAACATTTAATAATATGGATAAATTTATTGCTAACACCATAACCAGAAGACCCTAAAAATTATAAATGGACCTCAGTATAAGAAACTAAATACTCCCATATATCACTTTTAATTTGGTTGGTGTTTGGGTTTGGCTCGCGTAAGGAGGGATTTGGGGGAACTTTTGAGGAGGGGCGAGGACGTGGAAAAATTCTCAGAAAATCAAATTACCAGACTTTCAGGGACGGAGAACTTATAAAACCAGAACTGAGCATGAATACGGATAATATCCAGATATCCGCGGATATATCCCGATTCAGAAGGATTTGCAGTGTTATTATAAAATCAGATGGATGCAGGTATGGATAAACAGCCCTGAGTATGGAGAGCTGAGTATAGAGAGACTAGGCGATACCTCCGACAACTGTAAGGTACGATTTTTCAGGCAAATTACGTATCAGTGATGAGCCGAGTTCCCCGAAACCCACAATTTTTTGACCCAAAATCCAAAAAATCGAAAACTCGATCGGAAACCCGACGACTTGACCTTGTTCTCAACCCTTCCTCCCTAAAAGTGATGGGGCGGGTTTCATTCAATGATAAGCATTGTTCCCCAAAATCCGAACATTTTTTGACCCAAAATCCAAAAAATCGAAAACTCATCAAAACCCGACGGCCTTGTTCACAACCCTTCCCATCCCTAATATTTATTTTTAGGGAGGTCCGATCATAGGGAAAAATAATACAAATAAATCAAAAAAAATATTCGACAAATAAAATATTTAATTGATTCTTCTTGAACTTCTTTTACACATAATTTAATTAAAGATAATTAATTTAAAAATAAAAAAAATAAATTTTTCTCAGTACTGAACCAAAAAAAAGTTCGCAAAAATTTATGTTCAGTCAATGCCTTTTTTATATTTTTTTTCCTTTTTTATTTTTGTCTACACTTGCGCATATCATCAATTATATTACAATGCGTAAAAATAATTTTTTGTCATAAAACCGCTCATTTATGCACCAAAACCTTGGAGGGAGTGGAATAATGAATGTGTGTATTTGGGAGAAAATACAGAAAAAAATAATATTAATTTTATTTAAACGGTTAAATAAAATTGGAATTGGGAGAAATTAGAACTTGAAGCAGAATAAATTTACATAATATATAATATTTCAAAAATAAAGTATAAATATAAAATCAGAATAAATGATATGTATATTAGCCAAGTCAGAATTAAATAAATAAAGTAAAATACAAGGAGTAAACCAATAAACAAAACAGAAAATAAAATAATTACAATTTGAAGCAGAATAAATTTGCATAATATATAATATTTCAAAAAATTAAAAATAAGAATAAATTTTAGCCAAGTCAGAATTAAATAAATATATTAAAATACAAAGGTTAAACCCAAGAAAAAAAACAGAAAATAGAATAAGTCAGAACATGGACGTCTTCACTTGAATGTAATTTTGATGTTCTTATTAAAAGTGAGTGAAAAATTTTATAAAAATTCCAAATAATTATTTAATCAGGGCTGGCCGTAGTTTATAGTTTCGTTGGGCTCTTTATTGCCCTTTTGCCTTTCGTTTCGGAAAAAAAAATGCAAACAAAATACAACCAATAAATACGTGAGATTTTGTAAAATTTTTATAAATTTTCTAAATTTTTGTTTAAATTTTTCTAGTTTTCAAAAATTTTGCCGAATAAAAAAGTAAATGAAAATAAATTAAAATACAAAATGTAATAAATAAAATAATAAAAAAATCAGAATAAATTTGAGCAAATAATAATATACGGGAAGCATTTACTCCTTTTTTAGCATTTTTCAGTAATTTATCTATGCAAGCTTATAAAATAAAATAAATTTTATTTTATGTTCATCGACTGTTCTTCCCGTTCTTATAAGCGCAACCATTTTTACAAAAATAAAAAATAATAAAAAATAGGAATAATTGGAACAGGTTTACTTTTATATTTTTAACGGTCAAGTTTCTATGAAGTAAAATTAATAAAAATTTTATTAACCATTTAATAGTTAAAAATTATGGAAAATATTTAAATGCTATCATAATATGTATGTTAAAGTACAAATCAGAAACATGTTAAACCAGAAATTAAATTTAAATAAAATACAAATCAGAATTTTAAAAAATTAAAAAAATCGGAATAAACAAAAGTTGAAATAAACAGAAAATAAATAAAGATACAAAAATCAGAATAAACAGAAACTCAAATAAAATAAAACTCAGAAAATGAACATACAAATCAGAACTAAGAAACAGAAAATAAATCAGAACAACAAAAAAGCAGAACAAAACCACCGCTTAACTTTAGAAACTCGAATAATGACATTTTGTGGGGTGTTTTGTGAGAATTTATTTATCCTCTCATTTAGCCGGTGTCTCCTCATAATAAAATTTTTTCCTTTGGTAGGACTAACAAATAAGTGTTTTTTGTAGCAAATTTTGTTGGCTTTCAGATGGACTACTATAATAAAAAATTTTTTTATTATAGTCTACACTTGTAAAAATATTTTTAAAGTACTGTAGCCCCAATTTCCCGTTGATTTTTGAGATTTTGGATCTCTATCAAAAAAGCACTTACAGACTTTGTTCTTTTTTATTTTTCACTTATTATCAATGAAAATATTTGCATGCACTTTTGTATAATTTTTCAAGCATTCCTTATTAAGTTTGGCGGTTCCGGGTTGTATTGGGAAATTTTTGCAGGGGAATGACATTGGGTGTGGTGAGTTGTTTATAGGCAAGAGTATTAAGGACATTTATGTTAAGGGTCGCTTGAGTCTGACATTAAGTAATGGGGAGATATGAGTCATTGAGTCGGTGCGACTCGAGTCGATTTTTTTAAATATCGTTTCAGGCGCCTTCGATAGCCCATTCGAAAGAGCGTCCCTTGGCCATCAGAAAAAGGTCTAATATGTCTGGGGTCCACTTGAGTCCCTGGGAGATATGGATCGGCAAAGTCTGGGACTCAAAACTTTATGAGACTCAAACTTTTCTGGGATTATTCTTATTTTTATTTAAATTTACTTTTAATTTTTTTCACTTTGTTTAATTTCTATTTCTCCATTCATAACAGAGTTGCGTCGTAATCGAAAATTTTTTTCGTAATCGTAATTCGTAATTTTTAAAAAAATTTTCGGAATCGTAATTCGTAATTTAAAAAAAATTTTGAAATCGTAATTCATAATTCGTAACTGAATAAATGCCGTAATTCGTAATTTTTAAAAAATATTTAAATTAGTTTTAAAAATCAAATATTTATTAATAATTGCTGTTTTTCTCATTAATACCTCCAAGTCCTCTTATTTTTCTAATATTATCTCACATCCCAATGAATTTCCTGATATCCCTCTTAATCCCCTTTATCCTTCGATATATCTTCAAATCAATCATGCGAAATCATTGTCCTAGATTAAAGTTTGATATCATGTGATATCACTCTCACTTAAACTGACAAAAATAAAACGACCCGTGAAATTTTCCAATCCCCGACTTTTTTAATCTCATGATATCCTTGTTAATATCAGATGATTTTTCTGCGCCGCAGGCAAATATTTTGAGAATTTTGGAAAGCCTTAAGTTATAAAACTCATTTGTTAAAGCCGGAAGCAAAAAAATTTTAAGTTTAGTTGGTTGCGCCAAAACTCTTAAATTTTCTGCGCCGCAGACGAAAATTTTGGAAAATTCATGACTAAATTAAAATTTTAAAGTTTTTTCAATTTAAGTTATTAAAAAAATAAATTTACAATTTAAATAAAATCAGTTTAAAAACATTTATTTTTGAAAAAGGAACTGTTTAGACTTCATTTCTCAATTATGGATTGGAACCAAGCCCCGCTAAATATCAAAGAGAGCGAAGCCTGACTTCTAAACCACTCAAACACCGATCAACATAAGTGAATATGAGAGAAAATATAAATATTTCTTTCCTTTTTCCTTCAAAAATATAATGACAAAGTACGAGATGGATTTTTTTTTCGTAATTCGTAATTTTTTCCGATATTTTCGTAATCGTAATTCGTAATTTGTAACTCAAAAAACACCATAATTCGTAATCGTAATTCGTAATTACGACGCAACCCTGGTATTAAACTATCTATTTCTTCATTATAATTTATTATTTTTTTAAAATATTATTCTAAAAGTTATTCTTTAATGAAGGAAATGAAACTTTCGAGTTTTTTATTTCTTTATTTACTATTAATACTTCTTCTGTTTGATGCAACTGAAAGCACCTCAAACCTTCCTTCATATCGTTTTCAACCTCGAGATGTTAAAACAGGCGGGACAGAAACTAGTGAACAAGAAGGGAACGGAAGTATACCCACAAATAGTGCAGGACACAATCAAGAAGTCAATCCTAGTCAAGAAATTGCTGAAAATTTGTCAGATTTTGGTCAAGTTTTTGGAAGTCATCCGTTTCTCCCGAATTTCGCTCAAAAACAGACTCCAGGATTTGTATCAAAACAAAAAAAAATAAAGGATAATTCCGGTTAAATATTTTGATTAATTTATCAGATATTTATTTAGTTAAGGAATTAATATTAATATCATCTGATGAAACATCTTATTTTTATGAAATATGAAATATAACATTGTTTATATTATGTAGTCTATTTTTTAACAAAATCTTGTAAATCTAGTAACTATGAAAAACCATTATTAATCGTAACTACACTTTATTCAATTATTTGAAAATCATAAATTATTAAGAGAATTACTAAAAAATTTATTAATTGTCTAAATTAAAAAAAATTTTATATTCAGGTCTAAAGAAAAAGTATGAACGATTTATTAACAACCTTCCTATAAATTCTGAAATGTATAAAGTAATCAAGGAAGGATATGATTTTTATATTTATTGTACTAAATGTAAACAAAAAGTTAATGGCACAAGAGTAGATTTTCTTCTTATATATCACAATAATAGTAAACATGGAGGATATGAAACTGAAGGTATTTTACATAAATAATTCTGATTTAAATGGTTTTTTTATATAAATATATAGAACATATAAAAACTTTGGAAAAATGGTTGAAAGAACTTGGCCAACGAAACAACTTTAACATGGAAGAAAATACAAATATTCTCAGTTGTAAAATTTGCGGTGCTAAAGTAAATTTTTAACAATTGAATATACACTCCTCCACAAAAGTATAAGGGCACTTGTATTTTCGCAATTTTTTTTACTTCCAATGATCCAAAATTTCTGAAAATTTAGATACACACCTTTTAGTGAATAACTAACAAGATGTCAATAGATTTTTGGCTGATTTTTAATCTAAAAATTTTTAGACCAAAATTTGCATTTTCGGCCTCCACAAAAGTATAGGGGCACTTTACAAAAAAGGTATTTCCAAGATTAGAAAAGATCTACAAAAATTCTAGGGAACATACATAATGATATTATGAAAAATTAAAAAAGAACTAGACCCATATATTTACCTGGAGCTGAGACATGAGACCTCAGAAATCAACGTAAATCAGGGGTCTATTGACATCTTGTTAGTTATTCACTAAAAGGTGTGTATCTAAATATTCAGAAATTTTGGATCATTGGGAGTAAAAAAATTGCGAAAATACAGGTGCCCTTATACTTTTGTGGAGGAGTGTACATATTGATATTTATATAAATTTAAGCTAAAACCTTGTGAGAAATTTGTTATTAAACAACATCTTAAATCATCCCAACATCTTAAAATGATTAATACTCTTAGT